GTAAAATTCTAAAAGCCTTTTGGATATTAATATCAGTTTGAAATTTATTTAATCAATGCTTTATTGCGAGGGGGGAATTCAAAGTGGCATCATTATAATGACTGTCACGTACACGGTCTGTTTTGGAGTGGTCATACAATTTTTCTCTTTTATATGTAATACATTAAATTTATTACTTCAGTTACATGCATTTATTGTTCACTATTGCACGAATGCGGTATTATTTAGCACTAGAATAAACTGTCATAAATCATATTTGTAATTTTTAAAATGTCGTTGGAAAGAAAATTAATTCTTCAACGAATGTTGATTCGTCGCTCCCTTCTTATTCTTATCTATGTTGTGCTACGTTTCTTTGGTTTATTCAATTGCTGTTTTTTTTTTGCTTTAACTTACGGGGTTAGGGAGCTGACGCATCACATCATGACAGACCAGATCAATAAAACCCATAATGAGTTTCCTTAATTACATTTTTTTGGTAAGTTCTTTTTTTGGAAAAACCAGATTATACTTGTAAATTAATGATTTAAATAAAAATAAGTGGGTTTTAGCAAATGTGAGTTGTTTATAAGTGTCATTAAAATTTCTTGAAAATTTTTATCTTTGATTTATATCTCATCAATCTTATAATGAATTCGCCCAGTACTTAGAATCCCAAAAGTGTAATTCAATAAATGAACAAAGGTTATAAGGCTATAAAACTCTAATTTTATTAAGTAACACTTAAAGAAGAAGATAAAAGTGTAGAGTAGGAATAAAATTCGCTTTTTTACGCTGGGGCATCTATCTTATAAACCTAATATTGGTCCAATACGCGCTCAAGAGGTGTAAAATGACGGCCCGACCCCCAACCTCTCGCTAGGTCGTATTTTGACCAGTTAATCGTGACCTTCGATCGTCGTATTCTCCGCTCTGAGGAAAGTACAGAGTCTTTACCTAATGTTCGAGCTAGGGGTCGTCGTAAAACGGTCATGCACCCACTTGGAAAAGTGTAATTAGAGTTGATAACGCTTAACGTAGTTTGTTTTGGTTATTTTCTTAAGTTCAATATTATTATGTTGTCATTTCTAATTTAAGTGCTTGGTAGTTAATTTTTTTCTCACACGCCGTGTTGGTGTCTTTTTATATTGTAAGACGTAAATATGTACATATTCGAGATAATACTATTTTACTGAAACATGCTGGACTTCGCCTGGAAACCTGGTTATTAAATGGGTGGTAGGAATATCGAAATTCCAACCGGGTCACAAGTGAAAAAGCCGTGAAGTTAATCGGTCTGGGGGTCGGTTTCGGGTTCAATCTGGGGATTTCCGAATATCCAAAGCCAAAATAGGCCGGCAGCGCTTCTTATTAGATGCTATATCCCCCCCCCCCCCGTGCCATGTCTTTCCTTCTCTGTCATTAAAAAAAGAAACAACAATTAAATTACAGAGCTTTTACTGTTGTGTCTTATTATATCTATTTTTGAAAATTTCAAGTTTCTTTTACATTGAACTGGTGTTAGAAAGTGAAGTACGTTTGGCTGATACGCATCCGCGACGTCGGGTCGAAGTAAAAAATTACTTTCGCATTTCAATCCGTTAAGTGTTTTATTTGAATCTTAAGACATTGATTATATGTATATAAATTTCGAGTTTTAAATCATTTCATAATAGTTTTATTTTAATGCTAAGTTATTCTTTACAAGTGTCTTATCTTAAATCTTCATATGTGTCTTATATATAAGGCTGCTAGAGTCAGAGTGGGCTAAAACAGAAAAAAAACATGAATTTAATAAGGAGGAAAAAAAACGCAATTTACTTAGGCGAAAATGAACCATTATTCGTGTAAAAATTATCTTAACGATTTTTGGTCACTGTACTCTTGTAGATTTATATTTTTAGACTATAAAAATATAAATTAGTCTAGTCATAAAAATTGCAGTTAGGCTACTCTGCCTAGAGACTAATATTATAGTTTTTCTTATCTCAAAGTAACTCAGCACATTCTCCCAATGGCTCCAGGATCTTACAAATTACATCCGTATCTTGGCAACCAGCAATTTGAGTATTTTCACGTTCGAAGCACATTCCGTTTTAAACCCTTGTAAAACTATGCACTTACGCAACCGGGTTAAATTTCGTGACTTCTTCACGCCATCTTCCTTACGTTTTGGAAAATAATGACATAACTCAGTATCTATCCAGTACATATGTTATGTAGTAGATGCTTACACAATTGGAAATGAAAAATAACTTTGCCTATTTAAAAAAATACTTTGAAAACTTTAATATGTTTCATATGTATATATGTATTTTGCACACGAAGGCAGTATATAATTTAAAAATCGAAAATAAATTGAAAATATGTTCGACTCGGGCAGGCCTTGAGCCGGCATCGTCAGCGTTCTGTGCTGTTGCTCTACCACTTTATTCAATTTATTTTCGATTTTTAAATTATAATAATAGTTAGAAAATAAATTAAGAAATCGAAATAGGCATTTTAATTATAGACGTATTACTAAAAATACTGTCTAAAGCGAGTAGTACACATTAAATAAAACACTTTAACGGTTTAAACCGCGATATATATTAAATTTAGAGTCCCCGTGACCATGACTGCTGCAAAGCATAGGAAGTATCGGGCCGTAGTTACGTTATCTCTATTAACGAATGAATACGGGTATTCTTATTGAAGTCAATACTAATCGTTGTATTATTTTTTCTCATAGTGGAGAACTTGGAAGGCGAAATATCATCTATATAACATCCAAGCAAGATCGCTATTTTGGCTTTGGATATTTGGAAATACGCGATTGACTCACAGCTTTTTATCTGTGGAGGCTGGTTCATGACCTGAATGAAATTTAGACATCTCTACCTACCAAGGGTCGCTATTTAATATCCAAATTTTCAGAAAAGTTACAATTGATTAGAAAAATGTAGGACCCGGTCGTAATTGAACCCACGTCCACTCTATTATTAACCAGACATCTACTGTTTGTGCGACCGGTCGCATTTAATATAAATTGTGGATAAAATTAACAAGGATTAAAACGCAAAAGGTATTCGTTGCATCTTCTACAATATTTTCAGCCCCATCTGCTAAAAAATTAAAAAGTGTTTAAACAATGTTTTATACCTGTCCGCCCTAATTACTTAATGAGTCGAACACGTACTGGGTAACAAGCGGTATTATAATGATTTACGCTTTAGCCCTTATGATCACAAGCCATTTAAATATTAGTAGTGAAAGTGGCTTAAGCCAGGAATTTTGGTTAACGGAATTAATGACGTTTGTATTTTGTAGTGTTTAAACTGTTTAAAACGTGATATGTGTTAGTTAACTTATTAACAATTTATGGGAGTGGTCCTACTACTAGTACGAAGCATCCGAATCATCGGGTCGTAGTTAAAGTGTTTTAAAAATAAGGTAACGTAATATCTTAAACTGTTAAAACTTTAAAAAACACTATAACGGTTTAAAACGCGTTTTAAACTATTAAAGTGTTTTATTTAAATGTTTACTACACGCGTAAACTATAGACAGTACTGTTAAAATATTTTCTTTAATGTGTACTACTCGTGTAAACTTCAGAAATTGCTCTTAGTAAACTGAACGTACCAACATATAAACTCCATATAGTATAAAAATCGTTCTTCTTGAGAAGGAAAGAAGAGATAGCAATTTTAAATAATAAAATTCTGAAGTTGGATGTGATTTGGAGATTAATAAAGAAGAATCACTTTAAAAAAACAGTTTCTAATTAATTTAATCGATATGTGTAGATATTAAAAAAATAAAAAAAAGACATAAAATATTAAAATAAAAAAAATAAAAAAAATACACTGAAAAGAAGTTACGACACTCGCGGTCTTGAACCGGTATTCACAGCGTTTCGTGCGATTGCTCCAACCAATTGAGCTACGAGTCCTACACGTCATGATGAATTTTTCAACCTATTGACACGTTACGTTACGGTACGGTACCTCTCGCGCAATGTAATTTCAATTTTATCACTTGCCAATATGTGGATTAGCGAAAATCGAAAGCTGTGTTAACAATAACACTATTAATACCTCGCTCATATAGAAAAAGTTTCCTAACTCCCGCTGTTCATTGGAAAATATGGTATAATAACTTTCGTACGTTCGATATATTTAACTGAATTTTTCAGCTGAAAAGTGTTAAAGCTCGATCGCATATTAACATTTATATTGAAAAATATTTCCGGCGAAACCCGATGAATAATATAAGTTTTAGAAGAGAAATTTCACGCCTTTGTTTGTGTACGTTATGAACTTAGGGAAATGTCTGTCTACTTAGTTGATTATTAGTTACGATTCTATATAAGGACCGTTTAGTCCGTTTGAATAAAACACTTTAACGGTTTATAACGCAATATTTTTCTGAAACATGTTGGACTTCGTCTGGAAATCTGGATATTAAATGCGTGGTGGGTATGTCGAAATTCCGTTCAGGTGACGAACCACCCCACACAAAGCGAAACCCCGCATCTACTGAGGAAAAACCTACAAATTTAATGGCGTTGCGGGCTCAGTCTGTGGATTTAATTCATGCACACATACACACATACATACCTGCACACCAACACAATTACACTCTTATATATATAATAAAAACGCAGAGGCTCTTCTAAGTTGTAACTCTATGTACTAAGTTCTTTTCTATATTGACCAAATGATTTTATAGTGAGCTCGCGACGAGGGGGGCTGGTGACTTGTATCACAGGTTGTTATACAACAGGCACCAGGTTCACACAACGTGATACATGTAAAATTAAAGTAGCTTGTAAGTTCATTGAAACACTGTTAAGTTGTGAGTGCTAAATAAATAATTAAATGATTTTATTTGCGCCAGCGCATCTTGATTAGATGCTACATGGCTGGGCTATTACGTCACGTACCATCAAAACAAACCCCGTGCTTCCCTCCTCCAATATCATAAAAAGAAAACCTATTGAGAAGAAAGCAAGTATAAAGCTAGTACTACGTGGGTTTTTACTTACTGTGATCAAAAAGTCTCGGATCAATAGTAGTCGTCGTGGGCGGCGTGGTATGTTCTTCGTCTTCTTCTTCCGGTTCTATAGTGGTTGTGGTTGTTGTGGTGCGGCGTTTCTTGCGTCCCTGGCGGCGAGGAGGCACCGTGGCGCGGACAGTGGGCCTCTCGGGCCTCCGAGACACCAGGGCAGTGTCACCCGGGCCGGGATCGGCAAGCGCGAGCGCCACCAGTGATACAGCGAGCAGCCGCATCACCAGTGGCGCTGTTCGCCACATTTTGCCTGGAAGAACGTGTATCATGAGGATGGATGAAGAATTGTATTTACTTTATTGACCTATAACAATATTATAAAGCTATAAAGATTCGAATGGAAATTTTCTTGTGTTGGTTAGAGCATTTTTCGAGGGAGACTTCATTACGCCCTGTTCCTTTCTTTCTATTGTTTGCAATAGAAACAAATAAACAGTTAGACATGTGTAACAGTTTTAAAAAATTTAATAGTTATTTAATCTTGGCCGTTGCGTGCGCACGAAACGGTTTAAGATACGCAAAAAATATAAGAAAGAACCATTTAAATTTTTAATAATCTAGAAAAAAAAGGCAGCAACAGTATACGTTTATCTTTTAAGATAAACTTGCAAAACAACTAGAAACGAACGACGTCGTGGATTTGTAAAAACAAATTTTGATGCCCAAAATTCTACGCGCACAAAGTCGCTGGCACAGCTAGTCTTTTAAAAGAAAAACTCGTTGATAATATCGATTCGAAGATACATACATTGAGAGATTGAAAATGGCACAACAATGTATCATAAACAGCGCGAGGCTGTCAAAATTTACCCTCTCCAGCCAAACTGAGTATTGTGGAGGTTATAACTGTCAAAGTTATTATTACACCCTGCTTCCATTACAGATACAAGTGATACACGTTAGAATTAGTCTATACTAATAATATTAAGTTGAAGAATTTTAATGCTTTTAGAAATGGTTAAAACATAAATGGAGGAAGGAAGGGTATAAAACATAAGGCGATCAATAGGAGCGAGGAAAGAGTATTATATGTGGAATAAATGGAGAAAATTATCAATCTTTGAGGGTTTCTCTTCCGAGATACAAAAACTATATGCACAGAAGACTTATTATCTTTTAAAAAGACTAAAAAAATACCCGCGACATTATCTGTCTATCTCATAAGAATTGGTGACAAGAAACGTTTTTGGTAATCGAATTTCGTCGCTTTGACAATAAATAGAAGAATAGAAATTATTGAAAGTCGCGCCAATATGACTAATTTTTTAAATTTAAAATAGATTTTATCTGTATTTTCTTCACATATAAGTAATTGGTGAGATCACGTCTAAGACTAAGTGAAGGGCGGTAATTAAAAACGTTCGAAGCCTAAAAGGCATTTAGACGTTCTCTAGAGAAATCAATGAATTTATCCAACATCCGCTAAACGTCGATTTTAATTTGGCGTCTTGACACTGAAGTGCACTTCATGCTGATAATATTTCCAATCTTTTAGCTGTAGATTCAAACGAAATAAGTGTCATCTATGGGGCATCACTGAAAATCGGCACTGCAACAAATCTGTTGTCACAACACCTGAGTGATGTCCTTCCACAGCAAAGTATAATCGTTAACTAATAATGTAAATTAAAAATCGATCATAATTTAAAAAAAAGAAATACAAATTGAGGTAGCTAGTCTCGAGATTCGGCAGCTCAATTTGTTAGAGCAGCACGGAGCGTTCTGCCCGAGTCGTAAGTTTTTCAAACTATAATCGATTTTGAATTGATATAGTACCTTAAAAAATATTAAAGTTTTTAATCATTAATGTATTTTTTCATTAATTGTATAATTTCTGTATTATTATAATATTCCTTATATGTTCTTTGCCATGGAATAAATTATTTGTATCTCTTATAATAATATTAATTCTGCATTCATCGTTATAGTTACTACCAATTTACACTCGGTTGAACATCACGAGGTTTTGTTTCTTAGTCGGGCGTAGATTACTTCCAGTTAAAACCAATATTAGCTCTGGAGTTAGGGCTAATTATTTAGTTTATTAAGGTCGTTTCTCACCAACCCGAGCTGAAACGGTGCATTAGGTCAAAGCTCTGAACTGTCTTAAGCGATGACTTTTATACCATTTGTACTCAACACCCCTTTTTTTAACCGATGGTGTGAATGCCAGTGTGGTCGTACTACAACCTACTCGGAGACAGTAGCCGACCAGAACCACTATACATACCACCAGCCCGCTACGGTGCTTTTGAGGTGTACACAAACCCTATTTCATACGTCACACAATTTTATTATTGATTTTTACTTCATAAAGTCGCACAATAATGAATCCCACTTTAGTACATGTGCAACGTTAAAGCAATTCGATTTATCGCGAATTATAACGATACAAATAGGTACACGAAAATAAATAACAATACCTCTTGAATAATGCAAAATACTCATACATTTTATAACAGCGCACTTTAGAAATAGATTTTCTAAGCGTGACGTATAGAACTTCAAAGGAACGAGCTGTTTAGAAAATATATAATGAAAAGTGAATACATACAGCGTTCAGCCCGGGGGCTTTCAGAAGTGGTTGTGGCGATCCCGTGTCAAACAATTTGGAGCGATTGACGTTTCTCTCGAAATAATTCCGTCAAAACTTTGTTTATAACACAAAAACGCTTTTAGATAAATAACCTGCAAGGTTCGCGCCGAACTTCAATCAATTGAGTGGAAAACTTCCGAGGGTTTTGTAACACAGCGTACTCCGCCGAGTTTGGCTGTCAATTCAGTTACATGGATGTACAATTAATTTGCTTAGAATAAGATATAAATAATATTGAATAAATTTCCTACAACCCAGACTTATATCAACTGTTTCGATGCTCCAGTAGAATCACACTTCACACGAAGTCCCGGTTACAGCGCCTAGGTTTTTTTTGTAATAAAATAAGGACAGACAAGCACAACGTCCATTTGATGGAAGGTGAAGTACGCCAGTCATATAATTTTTTACTCCACAAAATTTGGTACTCCAAAGATTGAAACAACGCAAAAAATAAAAATAATATATAAAAATATTTACACGGTTTGATAATTGTATTTTTTTTTAAATAAATTATGATAATATATTGTAACCAAAGTAATGACGTGTTGAACATTCAATTGCTATTTCAAATTACAAATTTATTGTATAAATTAATTTAATAATGCAATATATTCTTTGAAAATCATATTTTATAACTTGAATATTAGATTTAAAAAATATTATATTATTGTATATATCAATTAAAAATCGATGATAAATTAAAAAAAAAGAAATACGACTCGGGCAAGTTGCTTTAACCAATTGAGTTATTCATATAGCGCCATCATGTGCTAAAAATATTAAAGATTTAAAATATTGTAAATAATAAAAGATTGTAATTATCAGCAGAAAGTAATAATTATTCCATAATATGAATTACAATATAAATTTTAGTTAGTTACTATTAGTTTAATAGTAAAGTCTACAGTTTAAATTACAATATAAAATATTTAGTACTCACTAATAAATATTCAAATGATAAAGATAATATAACAGAACTTACTGTTCTCAGTTACTGTATAACCATATTGCGAGTCTCCAATACAATTCAGGTGAACGCAGATGGTTTAAAAGTTCCACTGCTTTCATACAGCATTCTAAGGCTACCCCTTTCAATTTATTACGATGTCGTGCATTTGAATAACTTTACCATAAAAATAGGCGTTCTGCGGCCAGAAAGTTGGGTAATAAAATGCAAATGGTGACATTCGTGACGCCTCTACGTAACTTATATCTACGTCAGCCTAGGTTAGTGTTTTTGCTCATTTCGTCCAATGTTAGCCTTATGAATTAGGATCGTTAGAGTTTAAGGCGATATTTCGACGACCATTTGACATGTACTGAGTTACTACAGTGGCGTTATAACACGTTGCACGTTGCTATTGCACATGACGGCATTGTATAAATTTAAAATCTATTAAAAATACTACATTATTTCTAGGTTTTTTACTAACCATTCTGTTTCTTCTAGATAGACTACTTTAATATGTCCGGGTGAAATTCAAATAAAAATGATATTAATTATCTCTAAACAGCTCGCACCAGTAGTATTCAGATATGCCATATTATTGTATATTATCATTAAAGAGATAAAACTTTGTGGCTGAAATTTGGGCTGATCAAAGTAGCTGCTAGCAATGTTTTACTTAATAATTGATTTGACTGCCTCTGGTCAACGTCTAGTATTGCGTTTGCACGAGAGTTCCAGGGTTTAATTTCAAATTGAAATTGGAATTTTATTTTTATTTTACAAGATGATGTGCGTTTTAGATATTGTAAAAAAAGTTTCATTAATTTTAAATACCAGTAAGCTGGCTTATGGTAGATTAAAATACCTTAAAATGGCAATAGAAAAATTAATATCCACCACAACTAAGTAATATCGCCAAAAATTGCTTCGTCCAAAATATATTAAAAAGCTGAAGCTGGAATTTACTCAAAGCTCGTAAAAATGAAGAATTTTAATTTTGAACACGAGCCGGTAGCTGGCGTTTGCAATAAGTTTGTTTATTATATTTTGTTCATAACTTGTTAACTAATTTTATTAAATTACTTCTTAAGGAAATATCACTTCTACTTATTAATGTTGGGCTGGGCTCTCCAGAAATATTAACCTACCATGCTTTTCCCGTATGGGCTTCAACAAGGAGAGCTACTGAATTAGTATTGATAAATAGTATAAACGATGCCTTGTCGTGCTCTCCGATATTTCTTTATGACTCGCAAGTAAATCTATACTAATATTAAAAAGCTGAAGAGTATGTTTGTACGCGCTAATATCAGGAACTACTGGTTCAAATAGAAAAAGATATTATACTGTTGGTTCGAGTATTTATCGCCTTACGTACCTTCGCTGCTGCCAATATTGTAAAGCAACAGAGGAACATTGGGAACAACAGGGAAAATTATTCGCCGCGTAGAGCTTCTGTTGCGTGCGTTGCGTTAATGGTTACGTGGGTTCGATCGCCGCCGGGTCCAAAATTTCTCTTATCAATTTGTTATTGATCTGAAACTTCGTCTGGAAATCTGGATATTAAATGCGTGGTAAGCACGACCACCGTTCACAAATTAAAAAGCCTTGAAGTTCCATCGCGTTTCAGTTTCAGTCTGTTGATAACCGAATATCCAAAGCCAAAATAGTTCGACAGTGTATCTTGTTTAAACACA